CCATGTTTGCTGCAGTATTATTCACAATAGCCGGGAGGCGGAAACAAACTAAAAGTTCATTGACAGATGAATGAGATAAAGAAAATGTGGTATTTACATATCATGGAATTTAAACAGCCAACAATGTGGATGAACCTTGAAGACACGATGCTAAGCAAAATAAGCCAGTCATCGAAGGACAAATATTTCATGGTTCTACTTTTATAAGGTATCTTACATGAGTTGTCTAAAGTAGTCAAACTCATTTAAGCCAAAAGCACAATGGTGGTTTCCAAGGGTTTCAGGAAGGGGGAAGTGGGAAGTTTCTATTCAATGGGTGTGTTTCCGTTATTCAAAATGGAAAAGTTCTAGAGATCTGCTGTACAACAGAGTGCATAGAGTTAATATGGTACTACACGCCTAAAAAGTCATGAGAGCAGATCTCATGATAAGTGTTCTTACCACAATAAAATAATTGTTTAAATCCAAATTTAAATTTTCAGAAATAGCTACATAAGAATGTTATTTAGAAATGTGGAGATAAATATTAGAAACAGCTAGAAGAGCTAAAATGGTTACCTCTGGTATCAAGACCTCTGGGTATCAGGAATCAAGGTAAATAGGAGCAATGTAGGAGATTCTCATTGTAAACCTGGTTTTACACTTTACATTTTATACTGTGTATGTATATTATTGTGATAATACCTTAAATTGAATTTCATATCTTTAAAAATGGGGAAAAAGTAGCTGAAGAACAGGCATAACGTCTTCCTGGTTTACCTTCCTTTAAGGAAGCATTTGCACCTTTGTCTGGCGCAGTGGAAGGTGCAGGAGGGGTTTGGATGATCAGGTTTCCTGAGTTTTAGGCATTAAATATTTTGGGATCCCACAATTTCCAATAAGGGCATTAATTCAGCTTATGCTGTTCAGACAGGCACACTGTCAGGACAAAGACTTATTGTGATGTCACCTGTCATTAACATAAAGATACACATACACACACACACACACACACACACACACGAGTCTCTCCTGTTAAAGTGAGTGCTGTAACAAGCAGAATATATTTGTACATGGCAGGTAAATAAGGAATTAAATCACCAAAATGTAAAATTGGGGTAATACACACAGTTTTTCATAAGGTGACTATGCCTTGTCCTGTCATATAATACCAATCAAATGCAAAAATATTGAACATGGTATCTCTGGAGTGAAACACAAAATCACACACTTCATCTCTTCCCTCTTATCTCAGTTTAGGCATTGCCCTACCAAGTGTGTGATCTGCAGTTGTCCTGAGTTCTACACTCTTCTTGATAGAATTATTTAATACTCTGTTCAAGGTCCCAGAAACAAGAATCTGAAACATGATTTTAAAAGAAATGCCTTAAGGCCAGGTGTGGTGGTTCACACCTGAATTCCCAGCACTTTGGGAGGCTGAGAGAGGCAGATCACTTGAGGTCAGGAGTTTGAGAGCAGCCTGCTGGCCAATATGGTGAAACCCCATTTCTACTAAAAATAGAAAAATTAGCCAGCCTGTAGTCCCAGCTATTGGGAGGCTGAGGCAGGAGAATCTCTTGAACCCAGGAGGCACCGCTTGAACCCAGATTGCACCACTGCACTCCAGGATGGGTGGCAGAGGGAAACTCTGTCTCAAAAAATAAATAAATAAAAATTTACAAATAAATAAAAACATGTCTTAAATATTGAGGAGAAGTTTTAAATAATAAAATATTTTTAAATAAATGAAAGCACATGCTATTCGCCACAGCAATAAGCTAAATGTTACACACCATCAGAGATGAGACTGCTAGTGAGCTTAACACAACAGTTATTATCAGCTTCAAGTGAGACTGTTAAACAATTGCAGTGGATTAAAGGTCAATTTTTTTTTTTTTGAGACAAAGTCTTGTTCTGTCACCCAGGCTGGAGTGCAGTGGCATGATCTCGGCTCACTGCAACCTCTGCCTCCTGGATTCAAGTGATTCTCATGTCTCAGCCTCCCAAGTAGCTGAGATTACAGGTATGTACTACCACACCCAGCTAATTTTTGTATTTATAGTTGAGACAGCGTTTCACCATGTTGGTCTTGAACTCCTGACCTCAAGTGATCCACCCACCTCAGCCTCCCAGAGTGCTGGGACTACAGGTGTGAGCCACAGCGCCCAGCCAAAGGTCAAGATTCTAATATCAAGAACATCAGGATAGAACTTTGCAGTTACCCAGTTTCATTTAGAGTTATACAGCTTCCTTACAAAATAGAGGAACTGGCAAATCAGCAAAGCAGATTGCTATTTTAAGCCAGCACAGAAGCAAAAGATAGAAGACAAGGACCTCTGGTATAACAACATTTAGTCCAAGAATGATGATGATCTTCATTCTGCTTTTTATACCTCAAGAGCCACAGTATTTTACCATACCCACTTACCAAGCAAACTCCTTATCTTTTGTCAAAGTGCTATTATTTACTACAGAATTTCTTTATTAGGAACAGATGTTTAAAACTGTGGTCATGTTTTTATTGGGTGTGGGTTCTGTTTGTTTGATGTAAAACACTGAATGTTCTACTTCAACTCTATTTTTTCCAGAAGCTCTGTTATTTGTAGTGGGTGAAACTCTGTAACCTAATGATTTTCAGGGATATACACTCCATGTTTAGGAGAAATATATCATATCTTCCCTTTTATTCCCTGTTTTAGGCTAGGCCATTTTGGTTCCAGACTTTCCACTTTCCTGAAGAACATAAATAAATGATGCCCCAAAAAGACAATGAACGTAAAATCTGGTTAATGTAATTCACAAAATAACAGATTGAAGATAAAATCCATGTATTTATCTCAATTGATGAGGAAAAGGCATTTGATAAAATTCAACATCCTTTCATGAGAAAAACTCTTAGCTAACTAAAATTAAAAGGGAACTTTGTTAACCTGATTCAGCAGAAACAGGATGAATTCCACAAGGTCACATGGCACGGGCTAAGGGATGCCTTTATTGGGTGAAACCAGTGAGCCAAGGATCAGCACTCCTAAACATGGGATACTCCCAGCAGACACTCCCATCCTTACTCACTTCAGCCTAAATTGAGGTGTTCGGAGGCCATACACAGCTATCAGTCAGTGAAGTAGGACAGCAGAGTTTCTCATCCTCAAGACTACTGGCACTTGGAGACAGATAATTGTTCATTGTGAAAAGCTGATCTGTGCATTGTTAACATCAGCAACCTCAGTATCTAGACATTGGATGTCAGAAGCACTTCTGCCCCAGTTGTGACAACCAAATATGTTTCCAGACATTGCCAAAGCTCCCTGGGGACAAAATAACCACCGTTTGAGAAGATAGTTTACTACCGTAAAACAGGAACGTTGTCCCCTGTAATTTTACCTTCTTATGATAAGAATATGAGACGTTCCTTATGGGGCATGCTTCCTAGACAGTCTAGGTTTCTAGGAAACCTAAATGTAAACCTAAATGTGTGTGTGTCTATGTATGTGTATGTGTGTATATATATGGAAACATATTTTTGCTATTGAGTTGCAGTAGTTCTTTATTTTTTACTTTTATTAATTTATTGATTTTTTGAAACGGAGTCTCACTCTGTCACCCAGGCTGGAGTGCAGTGGCACAATCTTGGCTCACTGCAACCTCTGCCTCCTGGGTTCATGCAATTCTCCTGTGTCAGCCTCCCGAGTAGCTGGGATTACAGGTGCCCACCACCACACCCGGGTAATTTTTTGTATTTTTAGTAGAGAACACCATGTTCCCCAGGCTTGTCTTGAACTCCTGAACTCAGGCAATCCACCCACCTTGGTCTTCCAAAGTGCTAGGATTACAGGCGTGGGCCACCGTGCCTGGCCTGGCAGTAGTTCTCTATGTATTTTGAAAATTAACCCCTTATCTGATATGTAGTCAGCATATATTTTTCCCATCTTGTAGTTTGCCTTTATTACTAAATATTTTACATGTTATTGCTTTTAAAGTGTTACATTTTTCTAACCAATATTTCTAGTGTATAGCAATGCAGTTGACTTTTATATATTGATTTTTGTGTCAGCTAATCTTGAAAAATTATCTGTCATGATATATCTGTAGATTCTTTTGTGTTCCTATTAGACTATTGTATCATTTGCAAGCAATGGCTTTTCTCTTCTTCCATTCTAATACATATTTCTTTTATTTCTCTTTATATATGTGTGTGTGTGCATATATATATATATATATATATGCACACACACACATATATATAAAGACCCAATTAAAAGTGAATCAGAATCAAACAGACATTCCTCCAAAGAAGATATACAAATGGTCAACAGGTGTATGAAAAGAGGCTCAACATGTCTAATCATAAGGAAAACGCAAATCAAAACCATAAGATCTCTTCATACCTGTCAGATGGCCATTATTTTAAAAAGAAAAGACAAAGAAAACAAATATTGGTGAGAATGTGGAGAAATTGGAACCCTTGTGTACTGTCGGTGAGAATTTAAAGGTGTATAGCCACTATGGAAAACAGTATGGAAGTTCCTCAGAAAATTAAAAATAGAACTACCACATGATCCAGCAATCACACTTCTGGGTATTTATCCAAAAGAACTGAAATCAGGATCCCAAACAGATATTTGCACCTGCATGTTCATTGCTCTAATAGTTACAATAGCTAAGAAGTGGAAACCTAAATGTGCATTGACTCATTGACAGATAAATGGGTGAAGGAAAAAAAATTATATATATATATGTGTACATATATATATATATATATATATATATACACACACACACACACACACACACATATGCATTCCATGGAATATTATGCAGCATTATTCAGTCATAAAAAATAAGAAAATTCTCTTGCATGCTGCAACATGGGTGAACCCCAAGGACATTATGCTAATAAAATAAGCTATTTTCCAAATAGATCCCTTGCCATTTTAGGCCTTCAGCTCCACCCACCGGCTCGCCCAGCAGGGACACTATAAAGCCAGGCTCAGCCCAGCTCCCAGCCAAACAACTTTCCAGCAACATGGGGTCCATCAGGTCCTTGGTCCTCATGGTGTCCCTTGCACTTGTGACCCTGGTGGCTGCGGAAGGAGTTAAAGGGAGTGAGCAGACATGGTGGAGCTGGGTGGGGCTGGGCTGGGGAAAAGTCCTGAGGGGCCCTCTGGGGCTGGAGTTCTCATCTCACCTTGTGGCTTCCTCTACTAGATCTAGAGAAACCAGGGGTTTGCCCAGCTGACAATGTACGCTGCATCAAATCCGATCCTCCCCAGTGTCACACAGACCAGGACTGTCAGGGGATAAAGAAGTGTTGTTACCTGCACTGTGGCTTCAAGTGTGTGATTCCTGTAAAGGAACTGGAAGAAGGTAAGGAGACCTGCCTCCCAGGGCTAGGGCTGTCTCTTCCCCTGCCTGATACCTGGCCCATAAAAGTTCGGAGGAATTAGTCCCTTTAGCTGGTGTGGGGAGGGATGGCTAAAGCTGGCAGGGCCTTCGGACACCAACTAGTCTGAACATCTCCACTGTAAAAGGAGGAAACAAGGATGAAGACGTATCAAGGCCATGCCCAGAGCCAGGATGGGAAGCCAAGCCTCCAGCCTTCTTCTCCACCAGGTGTCCTCAGAAATGATGCTGGTCCTTTCCACCTCTGGGGGTCACTCTCACCCGGCACCTGCCCCTGAGGGTCCTGAGACTTGGAATATGGAAGAAGAAATACCTAACCCCACCAAGGAAAACTTGATCTTGAAGTCCTTTTCCCCAAAAAGAGGGAAGAGTCACAGAGTCCAGATCCCAGAGACTGTACTTTCCCTCTCTACCTGGTGCTCCTCCCCGACACTCATGAGTAGACCTCTCGTGAATGAGATCAGTGCCCTTATAAGAGACCCCAAAGAGCTGCCTTGCCCATCTGCAATGTGCAATTGCAGCTAGAAGGTGCTGTCAGAGATGAGAAACTGGACCTCGCCAGATGCTGAATCTGCTGGTACCTTGGCCTTAGACTTCCCAGCCTCCAGAACTGTAAGAAATAAATATTAGCTGTTTATAAGCCACCCAGTCTATGGTAATTTGTTACAGCAGCCCAAACCAGCTAAGACAACCTAATAGTAAAAAAAAATCCTATTTAATATTATCAAAATGAATAAAATGTAAAATACCTACAAATAAATATTTCTGGAGATGTACAGAAATTTTCTGAAAAAAAAAAACCTGTAAAACTTAATTAAATGATGTTTTAAAAGATCTGGATAAATAGACTAAACTTTTCTACAGTTAAAAAAAAAAAAGAAAGAAAAAAAGAAAAAGGTTTTTAAAAGATATGCTCTTCCCCAAACAAGAAACCTCCACAAAATATTTATCTTGATCAGCTTAATTTATACCTGAAATATAATTAAAAACAAACCCATTGGGTTTTGCAAACCCTGATGAAATAATTGATTCAGGCAATGATCATCCATGGTTTCTGAATATTTACAGAGTGTCATTTCATGACCCCATGAAATATTTACAGTTCATAAGAAGGGAAACACAAGTTTACAAGGTGAGGATTCAGGTACACACCTAAAACACATTAATCTGTCTCCACAATGCTAAAAATGGGTAAACCAGACCTGCGTTCCTCCTGAAGTGATGCAACACAACACACAGCATCATTCAAGAAGGGTTCCTGCCAAGACAGTTGAGCATGAACCTCACCAAGCCTCTCCAGCTAACATTCGTCTATGAGAAATGTAAAGGACAAAGATCAAAGACATCACAGGGAAGCAACATGGGATATTCTAAAGAACAATTTGTCTGTTTTGTTCAACAAGTAAATAGCATGAAGAAGAAAGAGGAGGGAGGAAAGGAGGATAAAAAATGAGCTGGAGGGATTGTTCTAGATTAAAAGAAACTTCAGATACAGTACAGCCAATGCAACGTGTGCACCACAACCATGCAGTCACTTTTGAGACAATAAGAAAAACAGAATGCAAATAGAATATTAGATGATAAGAAACTACTGTTAATTTTCTTAGGTGTAACAATAGTATTGTGATTATATGAGCAAGTGTCCTTAGTTTTTAGAGATGCATACTGAAGTACTTAAGGGTAAAATATAAGATGGGTTGGATTTACTTTAAAATACTTCAGCCAAGAAAGAGGTGGGGATATCCAAGAAGGAACTGTTGTAAAATGTTCATGGTTGAATCTGGATGATGGGTATCTAGGCTTCATAAAAGTATTTGCTGTTCTTTCGTTCATTTTTGAAAACTTTTTAAGATAAAAACAATGGGTTTGTTTTTGCAACTTAACAAAAGGATAATTAGGTTTACATGGAACCATAAAATACTTATAACCTGGAAAATTGAAAATGTAGATTAATGAAGGGTAATGGATACCACCAGTCACAAAAACTTACTATGAAGCTACAATAATTAGAACCGCAATACAAGCATACTTTGTTTTATTGTGCTTTGCAGTCATTGTATTTTTTACAAATTGAAGGTTTGTGGCAACCCTGCATCAAGCAAGTACATTGGCCCCATTTTTCCAACAGCATGTGCTCACTTTTTGCCTCTGTGTCACATTGTGGTAATATTCACAATATTTCCATTTTTGTCATTATTATTACATCTGTTATGTTGCTCTGTGACCAGTGATCTTTGATGATACTATTCTAATTGTCTCAGGGTGCCATAAACTGTGCCCACAGAAGACAGTGAATTTGATTGATAAATGTGGCGTATGTTCTGATTTCTCCCCCAACTGGTCATTCCCTGTTTCTCTCCCTTGGAGCACACCAATGTTGAAATGAGGCCAATTAATCATCCTACAGTGGCCTTTAAGTGCTCAAGTGAAAGGAGGAGTCATGTATCTCATTTTAAATCAAACAAACTAGAAATTATTAGCCTTAGTGAGGAAGGCATGTTGAAAACCAAGACAGGTCCAAAGCTAAGCCTCTTTTACCAGTTAGCCAAGTTGTGAATGCAAAGGAAAAGTTCTTGAAGGAAACTAAAACAGCTGCTCCAATGGACACACAGATGGTAAGTGAGTGAAACAGACTTATTGCTAATATAGAGAAAATTTTAGTGATTTGGATAAAAAATCAAAACAGCCACAGCATCTTCATAGCCAAAGCCTAAACCAGAGCAAGGCCCTAACTTTTTTCAATTCTAGGAAAGCTGAGAGGTGAGGAAACTACAGAAGAAAAGTTTGAAGTTAGCAGAGGTCGGTTCCCAAGGTTTAAGGAAAGAAGCCATCTCCATAACATAAAAGCGTAAATTTTTTGTAAAGGTAGGGTCTCACTATGTTGCCCAGGCTGGTCTCAAACTCTTGGGGTCAAGCAATACTCCTGCCTTGGCTTCCCAAAGCTCTGGGATTATAGGCATGAGCCACTGCACCATGCCATGACTCCAATTTTGAAAGAGGATATACAGTGTATAAAATGTTATCAAACAGCATTGCATGCTACAGAGAAATCTTTCACAATATACCTTCGTATCACATCTGCACGTGTACCCCCTAATTCTAAAATGAAAGTCGAAAAAAAAAGGAAGAGTAAATGGATGCAGCAAACTTCATGGTTGTCTTCTTTTTAAAAATTGCTACAGTCAACCTATGCTTCAGCAAGTCAGCAGCCATCAACATCAAGGCAAGACCCTCCACCAGCAAAAAGATGACTTGCTGAAGGCTTGCATGATTATTGGCATATTTTAGTAATAAAGTATTTTTAAATTAAGGTATGTACTTTTTTTTTTAGGTAAATGCTATTGTGCACTTAATAGACTACAGTATAGTGCAAACATAACTTTTAAATGCACCGAGAAACAAAAAAGCCATGTGGCTCAACTTATTGCAATATCCTCTTTATTTCAGTGGTCAGGAACTGAACCCGCAGTATATGCTTGCCTGTGCTGGCACAAGAATAAACAGTCGAAAGAAAAGAACGGGCCTGGCGTGGTGGCTCAAGCCTGTAATCCCAGCACTTTGGGAGGCTGAGGTGGATGGATCATAAGGTCAGGAGTTCGAGACGAGCCTGACCAACATGGTGAAACCCCGTCTCTACTAAAAATACAAAAATTAGCCTAGCATGGTGGCACGTGTCTGTGATCCCAGCTACTCAGGAGGCTGAGACAGGAGAATCACTTGAACCTGGGAGGCACGGAGGTTGCAGTGAGCTGAGATCACGCCACTGCACTCCAGACTGCGTGACAGAGCGAGACTCTGTCTCAAAAACAAAAGAAAAGTAAAGAAAGGAAAATCCAGAAACAGCCCCTGTTACACACAAGACTTGAGTTATTGATAAAGTTCTAATTTTTAATCAATGGCAAAATTTGAATCATTCACTAAATGATCATAGGACAATTGCTTACTTACAAAAAAAAGATATTTCCTATTTCACATTCTATACCATGATAAACTTCAGCTAGATTAAAGAGTTAACATGTCTTTCAAAAATCACAAAATAATAACAGTAAATATAGTGAATATTTACCTGACGTCAGAGTCAAAAAGCCTTTTTGGCATAAAGATAAAAGTAGAAAATAAGAATGAAAAGATTGAATTGATTACCCCCAAATTTAATCATTTGGTGCTAAGCAAAAACAAGCAAACAAATATTTGCAATATGGCATTAAAGTATTTATCAGGCTCATCTCATTCAGTCCTCAGAACCGTCCTATAAAATAAATATGATTATCTCTATCTCTACTGGCATATAAGAATAAACAGAATAATAATAAATATATAAATAAATAATAAAAGAATAAATAATAAATTAATTAATTTACAAAATTAATGTCACACAGCTAGAAACTCTGGCACCAAGATTCAAAACCAGGTCTGCCTAATTCCAATATACATCTGTTGACCACTTCAACTTACTGCCCCCTGTGTATGACAGGTTAATAGATTCTTAATATATAAACAGCTCTTAAAACTCAATAATAAAAGGACCCGCAATAAAAATGGGCAAAATACAAAAACAGGAAATTCACAGAAAAAGAATACAGTCAGTATGAGAATAAGAAATGCTCACCATCACAGGTATTAAGAGGAAGGCAAATTAAAATGAGATGCTGTTTTCTATTAGCAAAGATTTTATTTACTTATTTTTTTAATATCCTGTATTTGGTGAGTGTATCCACTAAGGATCTTTGGCTGTGAGCAATGGCATCTGAAATTTAAAATTTGGACTGTTCTGTTTAGAGCACTGGCTTCTCTGTTCAAGACTCTAATGAAGGAGTGGGCAGGTTACGGGCGGGGGAAGAGTGCAGTGGGTGTAACCTGGATCAAGTGTGCGCAGCTTTGATAGGAGAACTACCTGCTGATCGGCAACCAAATAGAATTACAGGAGTCAGGGAAAAATGGTTCCACCAAAGGAAGAGATGCCGTGCAGACAAAACAGTAGATGTCTATTGCAGGGCAGGTGGAAGCGCTTGTACACCCACTTACTTCCTTTGTGAAATTTAATTTGACCAGATGTATCCAAAGCCTGGAAATACGGTGATGCCTTCTGACCCAGCATTTCTAACATTGACAAATTTACTTTCAGAACACAGTCAGAGATGTGACTCTAAAATGTACACAAAAAAGATTGTTATCACAGTTTTATTTATGAAAGTGGAAAACTGGAAACCTACATGTTTCAAAATAGGATCTGATTATGTATATTTTGGCACATCTTTTTTCCCTCAAAACTTGACTGAAGTGATGTTTTGACATATCAGTCTAACAAAAGAGCATGTGGCCATCAGAAAACATGATTTCAGAGAACATTTCATAGCACAGGAAAATGTCTACAAAATAATTTCCATTAAAAAAGCATTTCATGGCTGGACATAGTGGCTCACACCCATAATCCCAGCACTTTGGGAGGCCAAGGTGAGGGAGTCACTTGAGTCCAGGAGTTAGAGACCAGCCTGAGCAACATAGGAAGACCCTGTCTCTACAAACAAAACAAAAAAACCAGCCAAATACCAGGGTACACACCTATCGTCCCAGGTACTCAGGGGGCTGAGGCAGGAGGACTACTTGAGTCCAGGAGGCCGAGGGTTCAGTGAGCCATGATGGT